GGAGTTCTAACCTCTCTTTCTCAGTCCCATTACTTTAGTTATTTCTGATCCAGCAGAGAACTAACATATGCCTGTTATCCAGCAAGATAGGCTCAGCATCACTCCAATGTTTTATGTGCTCAGTTGGTGGTACCAGAATTGAAATTAGAAATCCCAACTGAACAATAATTATCTGGACTCTGAAGCTGACAGAAAAAAAAAAAAAAAATTAGAAAAAAGAAAAAAACCAAACCCAGCTACAGTCTTTCCCAAGAGCAATTGCCCTTTCTGGCAGGAAGGGGTAAAAATAGAGGCAGCTCATTAATATGGCTTGGCAGTGCTTAATGGCAGCTGGTCTGAAGAGTTAGATCAGTGGGTCTTTCCAGCAGTACTCCCGGACCACTGCCAGCAGGTGTTGCTGTGTTCAACAAAATGAAAAGGAGAGCGGGGGGGGGGATGGGGGGATGGGGAGAAAAAATATTTATAAAGAGAGAAATAGGTGTGAAAAAAAATTAGTCACCGAGTAAAGCTTTCATTAGGCCTTCGGTAAAGCTATACACAAACTCCCCGAGGCAATAAGGAGCATGCTCTGAAATGAATAATGCTTTTCACTTCTCCTAAACTCCTTTCAGAACTTATCCTGCGCTATAAATCACATACATGCTTGCCGCGCTTCACTCGGTAGCCTTCTCGTTTTGTCACGGACCACACACTTTCTCCCCGGGAATCCTCTGCCCCGCCGCCGCCGCCACAGCAGCGGGAGAAGGCCGGGCCCGGCCGGGCGCTGCCCCAGAGGGAACGACGGCCTCAGGCGGGCCCGCTCCGCCCTGGCTCCGGGGAGAGCACAGCTCCCTACTCCCGGGGCAGATTTGCTGCTCTCCGTAGAACCAACGCAGTGCAAGGGCTCTTGCTGAGAATATGTCTGCTGCCAAATTGCAACAGGCACTGCGCTACCAGTACGCAACACATTTCAAAGAGTTTTAGGGTGTCAGTTAAAACCAAACGCAGCCTGACCCTGAGAAAAACAGGATTGCAAGGTGGAAAAGTCATTTGGCAAAACTTGGGTTTAGGATCCTCACGAAAAATAGAGTCCTGCGACTAACTGGGTATATACATGCTCATTATCTGTTTCTTGAAGCAAGTGTCTCACTGTCCCTGAAGAAAAAGGGGGGGGGGGGGGAGGAATACCGAAAAAGAAAAAAAGAGAAAAAGAAAAGATAAATTAAAAAAAAAATAAAAAAGAAGTGCTGTTCTTTGTAACAACTGGAACCACCAAACTCAGATTGCAGAAAAGCTATTGCAACCTGTTTCACTTATTATATGCGTATTAAAAATGGGAAACAAAGCAACCTATCTGGTCATATGTTTCCCATTAACTTCTGATTTTTTTTCTCATTCGACCAAAGCTGTTGTGTGAATACAGCGCACATACCAGTTGGGATCAACACTCATATAAGGACGCCCTCGTATCACTGTAAATTGAAAGCTTGAAATCTTTCTTTGATCCAGATCAGCCATATTCCAAGACAGATTAAAGTTACATTACCAACAGGACATAAAAATATAATTATAAGTACAATTCAGGCCAAAAAAAAAATCTGAGGGATGGGGATTTTCTGGTAATCAGTGGGTGTTATGAATGAGTAAAGACTGCATGATCATGCCATTTGTCATAAATGGTACCACATAAAGCCAGTTATTATATGTGTTTAAGAAAGGAGATGGCTTTTGGATTTACTTTTGACCTTCTGTGTATTACTTCTGTACTGCCTAATTGGCATAGTTATTTCTGATTTTCATTAATGTAAATTGAAATGAAAATTGCCTTTTATTTTATTCCACAAGTGTTAATACCACACTTGCAAAAAATGTGAACTGTCGTTCATTGTAATTTATTTTTAGATGTCTAAACAGTTTTTAATAGTGTGATGCAATCTGCACGTCAAGGAGCCAGGAGAATTGGACAGGAGCAATATGATTCATTTTTTAAAGAGCTTTAAAGGGATCCCTAATTTAAACAGAAGGACACATTTATTCAGAGATTGAATTTTTTTAAAAAAATCATCCAAAGCCAAAGGATGCTTACTCAAATGCATTTTCCTGAATTTGAAAAAAATCCAAATTTGCAGAAAGATTATCTGGTATATCCTTAAGTATGTAAGAAGAAGAAAACAATTTGCAAAGTAGTAATTAAGTATCTGGCAAATACTGTATTTGACTAGAACAGTGTTATCTACATCTAATAATATCTATATCTAGCTATGCAATACAACAAGTTGGAGTGTATCTTCCTGACTCATAATGTTTGCTTTGTCTGATTTTAAGTTCTAGTCTTTAAATGGATACAGAAATCACCACAAGTTGATCCACGATATTTTGTCATGCTAGAGAATTAGGAGTTTCCATTAGATAATTAATTACAAGAAGTATGTCTCATACAGGAAAAACAGTCAATTGCTGATGTAACAGGATTAACCAATCCAGCACAGTGATCCGGCCCACTTTTGACAGACGTTACATGTGATGTGTACACACGAGAAGTACAGTATAAAGCTTCGCATTATAAGTACCACAAAGAGGACCTTCAGCAGTTCTTAAAGCACAATACAGCAGTCTCCTTCTGAGAGTCAGGACTAGAGAGGTAAAACTTTCAATCAGCTTTTTTTCCTTTCAAACTGAAACTTTTAATTCCTGTGCATGCTGTTGCATACTGTTAGAGTTACATTGAATGAATGCATATGCAGAACTTTGCAGCTCAGGTAATTTGTAGAAAGAATCTGAGCCACCATTTCTGTATGCATTCAAACACATTTCTTATGCATTTTTGTACATACATGTATATACATGTAAGTACAAATAAACCATGTATCAGCGGTATTGGAAGCTCTCTTTTAGAGAAGAGTGGTTTTTAGAAAGTTGTGCTTTAACATTAAATCTGTCATCATCATGGCATGCAAGCAAAATATGCTATACCTGTATGTAATGGAGATTGTATGCGATAACTGTACCTGTAGTATATGGCAAGCAACATATACCCCACAGCAAGAAGCCAGACATACTTATCTGCATTTTATTTTGATTTATGCCGCTCCCTTACTTTTCATCAGACACTGTTAGGATAGGTGCTATATTAGAACTATATATAACTCCTTTAATTATGTCATCTGTTAGTACATCTAATCATGAATGCATATTTTCATCTGAAATTATTTTTTCATCCAATTAAACTTTTAGTTCTATTTCAAGCTGACTTTCAGACTTCGTATAATTACAACAGACTTTGGGCTGTTCACAAGATCCAAGAAAATTCAATGTGTTATAGTGAGGTTTGTGTTACAAAGATGTGTTTATAAGAATGGCTGCAGGGTTTATAATGCTGACAGACCTGTAAGTGTAACAGTATATAACAGTATAGTAACTGAAGTCAGTAAAACACAGATGAGGGGGTACTGTGGATGCCTTATAACAGTAAAAGACTTATAAAAGATCTTAATTGAAAAGGACTAGCAATATATAACATTTGTAAGACTTTGGCTGATTGTTCGATTACTTCTGTATGTTTCATTTACTCTACTTATAATTCCTTGCCTGTCTCTTAACCCATGTGCCTGTAGTCATCTCATGGAAATTAGAGACCTTTCAATGCTTATATTTATAAATTACTCCTTTCCACTGTGAAATGCAGTGGTTGACAGTAATATACTGCAAGTGGAATATTTGCTGGGTAGGAGGTAAGCCCATCTGAGAAGACAAAGGTGTGGTAGAGAGAGAATGAAAGGAATGAAGAGAAAGAGGGTAAACACTAAAAAAGAAGCTGCTCTAAGAAAATTGGTACAACATAATGCCTGAAAGGGAAGAATCTCAAAATTTATACAGTTATAGCTGTCAGTTTTTCATAATCAAATGTAAGCGAGCTTGCAAACTTTAACTTTGCTGGATAAGGAACAGAACGGAGAGGATACAGAATGTAAAGGCAACTTGAAGCCATGGCAGTGGCACAGGGAATGCCTTCTCACTGCACAGCAAAGCCCTCCCTGGCATAAACTGACAAGGGGCTACCAACATTGGTTGAAACTTCTTGTGCTTTAGATTTCATTTAATTTCCAATGTCCTATTCTAATATTATGATTGCTCTCTGTGATTTAAATGAATGAAGTAATAAGTGCCTTCTAATAACAATGGGCCAAATGTAGAAGATCTTACTCAGCCTTCACTCAGACAGAATTATTATTGGCATCGATGAGGGCTTTGCCTGAGTCAGAAGCAAGTATGATTTGGCCAGATGACATGTAACACTTCACATTCAAAGCATTTTTCAGGCATTGCTTGATTAACCCCAAACCTAATTTATCTACCCAAGAACTCCCAGGCACAGACTAGCATAGAAGTAGGGCTATTATATGGCACTACCATGGCATGTCACATGTATGTACCAACTCCTGCTTAGGCTTTCAGTGCCTGACTGCATATTGCAGCTGAGCAGTGTATCATGGATTATAGAGCCCTCCAAACAACAGTGCTATTTTGTGCCTGTCAGATCTTTTGCCAGTGTTGATAACCCACAGCATTTAGAAGTGAGCAGAAAAGATTTTTTTGCTTCTACTCCAGGCAGAATAATATTTTGAACAGGCAGGGGCTCTGTTCAAAATATTCAGAGCCTCTGCCCTCATTCCCATCTCATTCACAAGCTATTTAACGTCTCCTGCTATCCCTAACAATACCAGGCAGGACCAAGAGCAAGGTGCTCGTTAAAGATTTCACTCTTTTCATTCATTCATGTTTCCTCTGTTTAGTTAAGCTGGTGATACTGTTGAAGGAATAAAACAAACAAAACAAAACAAAAAGAAAGGAAAAAAAAAGGGGGGGAATGACAGCTGGGGGGGGGAGGGGTCAAACAGAGAGTTAAAAAAAAGGAAAAAAAAAGAGAGTAAATTTACAGGAATGAGAAGATCTTTTAGAAAGGGGGGAGGGAAGGAACCACAAGTAGTGATATTTGAAGAGAGGTGTGTGTTAGGGGAGCAATGAGCATAAGGAAGCCAGCCTGCCTGTTCCTCCCCCTTCCTAATCATAGCCTTTACTCACAGACAAAACTCCCTCCCTCTCTCATTCACTCACTCACTTTAGGCCAATCCGTCCTCTCTCTCTCTCTCCCTCTCTCCGTGTCTCTCTCCTACTCTGAGACAGAGTCAGAACTCTTCTCCCTGACAGCCACAAACATCTACAGCACTTATTGCATTCAGAGAGGGAACCTGCAAACAAAACTTCACAGAAAACTTTTGGTTCTTGTTCCAGAGAATTTGCTGAAGAGAAGGAAAAACAAACAAACAAACAAGCAAACTAAACCAGCCCCCAAAAAAACTGTTCGTGAAGGGGGAGGAAAAGCAGGGCCTTTTAAAAAGGGAATCACAACAACTTTTGCTGCCAGGATGCCTTTGCTTTGGAAGAGAGGATTTCTGTTGGTGCTTTGCTGGATTATAGTGAGGAGTTCCCCAACCCCAGGATCCGAGGGGCACAGTTCAGTCACTGACTGTCCATCATGTGCCCTTGCCACGCTCTCAAAGGATGTGCCCAGCTCACAGCCTGAGATGGTGGAAGCAGTAAAGAAGCACATACTGAACATGTTGCACTTGAGGGACAGACCTAATATCACCCAGCCAGTGCCCAAGGCAGCACTTTTAAATGCCATCAAAAAACTCCACGTGGGAAAGGTGGGAGAGGATGGTTATGTGGAAATAGAGGATGATGTTGGAAGAAGAGCCGAAATGAATGAAGTTGTGGAGCAAACCTCAGAAATCATCACTTTTGCAGAATCAGGTGAGTGCTTGAAAAAAAACAAACTGTAAAATATCCTTTGTCCCCAAACTGAAAAATATCCTTTCTGCCAAAACTGCAATTAACTTATTTTCTCCTCCTCAGCAATAATGTTTTCTACAAGGTTGTAGGATGAGACTGGGGGGAAGGGAGAAGGAGGAATGGGATGGGGGGGTAGGACTCTGAAGGAATTTGATTTTTCTGACTTAGTCTTGGCTACAGATTACACTTGCTAAGCACAGTCAGTCACATAGGGAGGAAGCTCTCTAAGCAATCTTGAACATAAAGTCAGGCTGCAGCAGGGTCCTCCAAACTCTGCCTGTAAATACAGAGTACTTGCAGTAAAGGGCTGGATTGCAGATTTGATGGTAAAATAAAAAAGGCTGTAGCCTTTTGGGGAGTTTATGAAGACAGAAAGTGAACTGCAAACTACTTCAGAGACAGCCCTTTCATGTAAAAATTATAGTGGAAGTTACAAAATCAGATGAAGCAGCTTAAAGTTTTAGAAGTGAGATGGCTTTTTTGTGGGTTTTTGCCCTCCTTTTTTTTTGTCTTTTTTTTTCTTTAATTTAACACAGCATCTTCGGCAATAAAGAGTTTCAGGGACTGTCAGATGACTTCAATAGAACTGGACAAGTTGCTGTAGCTGATCCAATTTGTAATGCAGACTTCTGCATACTGGAAAAAAGATTCTGCTCCTAAAACACTCCTGCCAAAAATGTAACCTTGGTAGGGTGTATTTTGAACTCTTTCACAGTTCTTTTTCCCCTAACTCTTAGGCAGTAAGAGCTCAGAATATATGTGTTTAGTAAGTAAAGTCTTAAGTCTCACATAAATTGCCCATAGGAAACAGCTTTAAAGTTGTACTTTGTTGTCTTGTTCCTACATGAATAGGACCAGAACCCATTTTAATTCAATGTATGTGTATCTGCACATAAATCTGTTAGTGTATGTGGCTATGCTAATGCATGCATCAATAGCAGTTACTTGCAATAAGTCTATCATCTAACTAACAGCAACTTTTTATGATGCTGTCTAGCCAAAGCATTTTTCCTGTTGCCAAGACGGTTTTAAAAGAATGTCATTGTTTTGTTTGGTACAGCATATGGTAGGCAAAGTATGCAAAGGAACTCCAAGCATTTTTGTTTAAAAGTTTGCTGCAGCAGTATAAACAATTAAGACAACACTCAGAGTTTCCAGTCCTGAAAACCTGTTGACTCAGATGTTCTGATTGCAGGGAAGCCATGCATAAGAAGTGTGCATGCTTTTAAGTGCAGACATTCCTGCTGGCTGTCTGATTTCCAACTGTACAAGGAGCCCTTGCCTTTGGAGTCCTTGTCAATATACATATTATCAGTTCTTTCAGCATGAGAGCTCAGGCTTTTCAGTTTTTCCATCCCCTCCACTTCAGAAAGCAGAGAGTAGGTGTCAGTGCCAGAAGTCATTAGAAGCAGGGGTAGCTCAACATTAGTTTAGAAATGAATTTATAAAAGCAAGGAAACCTCTAAGCTGTCTACGAGTCAGATTCCCCACCTGGTTTTCAGCAGCTCGCTCTGAGCACAGTGGAACACATATGGCATGAACAGTGGTTTCTCTTCACTGTGTGCGTCGCAATCATTTGTAAACACATTATTGTCTCTCCTGAGCTCTGACACAAAGGAATTTGGAATTTGATATATGCCTACTCTGTACAATACCCTCCAACGGCGGCTCCCGAAGCCATTGGCTCTGGCAGTCACGTGAGCAGCAGAAACCATGCCATTGCCCACACACTGGCCAATCATCCTGCCACCGATCCCCGCCACCAGCCACCAACACTGTCACTCTGCTTGATTTACATAGCGTTGTCCTACTGCTGCTGACAAATTACTTGAAGAGGACTTAACGCTGTGGAGCTGCAGGACAGGGACATCCACTGTGTTCTCATGCCTTCTCCTCCCTGCCGCAGTTCTATTCCTTCATACCAAGATGATCCTGGAAGCCTAGGCAGGAGGGCTGCTCTGTCCATTTTTTCCATACCTGCTGCCTTTCCATACCTCTTTGATTTGGGACAAGGGAGGGACTATGAGCAACCTAAAAACTGAGCTCTGGTTTGGGCTTATAATGGAAATGATAAATCCACTCTGTGGAGTAACTTCAGATTACTAAAGCATATTCATCTACAGCCATTCATCTGGTAAATTGCTAATATCAGAGGATCTACCACATTTTACAGGTGCCAGTGCTGCAGCAACTTAAGTAAGCCCTTCTTGAGATCCTGTCCTCTTGTGCACTGGAAGTTATTCCTATCAAATATTGAACCAGTATCTTTTTACTGTAAAGGAAAGGGAGGCAAAAAACAAAGGCAAGTTACATGTCATATAGGAAGTATGAGTTAAAAAGACAGGAATTGAATATAGCCACAGCCACCACTTTTCGTACTGTGGGAAGTGGGAATAGCATGAAGAAATTTAAACACCAAGCAGGAGAACAAACATGTTCCGCTCACAGCCAGGTTAATGTGTTTCCTGCTTTTAACATCAAACTCACTCTGCCTCAATAGAGGGCAATAAGAAATCAATGAAAATGAATGAAAACATCTCATATTGTGCCAAAAAAATGTCTACAAAAAGCAAAATAAGACTTTAGGCTTCTTGTTTCTTTGTGTATGGCTTGACATAAACAAAGCCTTTAGGGAAATGTCTTTCAGATGCCACATTAACTACGTGCCTTTATGAAAATGTAGTATTTCCATCTTTCATCAGCCATATTCTCAAACATGCAAAGAAGTGGGGTGAATGAGCAAGTGGCACCCTGTGTATGCAGCTCTGTTTTGAGACTGCTTTTTTCTAAAATAAACCAAAATGCAAACAAGAGCAGACTTCAGACAATTATAGGGCAAATAAATGTAGTAAACTTGTCTGAAGAACAGGTGTAGTTATGTCCAGGAAATCAGCAAAATAGTTGGCAGGTACTTTTTACAGCTAACAAATCCAGACAGATCTCTGCAAAACTAATGACTGTGAGTATTGGGCAAAAGTTACAAATGCACCCTACTGTCCTTTGGCACTCTTACAAGTAAAACATGAAAATTACTTTCTACCTGCATATCAAACTGAGATTACTAACGTCGATTAGTTCTGCTGTAAGGGAAGCTGTGCCAGAGTTCTGTGTGTTACTTCAAAGTCTTAAGAATAGTTTTTTGAGGAGAGGGGTCATAAAATTTTGTGACAAGCGAATCCAACAGGTTCAACAACAGAGATACTCAATACTTATAAATGTGTTTGGCTACTAACTCGTTCATTATTTTAAGCAGACAGCTTATTAGGCAGTTCTGGGACTCTGCCAACTGAATTTGATCCTGGCAACTAAACTACCAATGAAATGGGTTGCTAACATCAGCCCCCGAGAAGGTGACAGGAATTATCAGATGGAAATACAGAAAGCTAAAGATTTATGTTCAGGAGAGATTCCAGGGGGAAAAAAGACGAGTCTACCAGCTATTTAGACCACTTCCACTGTTTTGTACCACTTCAGACAGAATTCCAGGTGAACTGACTTGATCATGTGATGCCTACCTTCATGTGCAGAGGGATACATGTATTCACCTACCCTATACAACCAAGCTGGCAGTTCAGGATGGAAAAAAACCCAAAGGATGTGTCGCCTATGTATTTTGAATAATTTCGACAATTTTCATTTGAAAAGAACTGTATTTAAGTATTCATGCTGAATAAAGAACGGCCACGAGAGGGCACACTCCAAAGGCTTTTTGCTCCACACGAGGCAACATTCCCGCACACTTATTTTACCTAATTGGATTCTGAATCCCAGAGATCTTTATGCTTATCTGTAGCTGCTCTGAGTGGGGATCGTTTCTCTCTTCTAGTTTATTTAAAAGGCAAGGATTCACTGGAGTGAAAAACTGCAAGGAAAATAATGCAGGAAGGAAATAGGTAGAGGAGTAAAAGATGGATGCTAGAAGTGCTGGAAATCTAGACAGATCAGAAATTATAAATATTATTTTTTACAAGATACTGAGAAATGTGACCATGAATCATCCTATGAGATGATTTTCTCGCATCATTTTTTAATGCAGTCTCCTCAGCTTTTAGAAAACAAGCCTATTTTCCCTTGTTGTTTTTAGTTCCCTCCTGCCCCCCTCCCTCCTGGCATACCAAATCAAAGATTTCAGGTTTAGCAAATGAAGGCAAACTGCTTCCAGAAGAGGAAAGCCATTCTGTATTGATCTGTTTCTCTGTATCAAAAATGTGAGAATTAAGAGTGGATGGTTGGTTTAAAGAACAACCTGAGAAAGCACAGATGAATCTAGGAAGGTGGGAACCAGTTTAGAAAAACATACCTGAGAAAAAGAAAGTACTGTATGTGTCCATCTCTGTGTAGCCAGGCCCACAGTTTTGTGTGCTAGTAGGGAGTATCTGAATATGTATTTGCCTGTGTGTGTGTATGAGCACACTTATGTCCTTACATGCAGGTATCCCAGGGCAAACATGCTCCTATACCTCTGCCTGCACCCATAGCATTCCTGCAGACAAGGATGTGTATGCATGTGTTTCCTCTGTGCAGGATATATCTGCCTTGCATACATGTAAGTGATTCATGCTCAGGAATTCTTATATCTATATCTATATATAGAGATATGAGAAGGCAATCTCATTTAATGCAACAGAGCTTTGCAACGTTAATATAGGATTGAAGCTTAGTTTACTGGAAGCAACTGGAAATTCTATTATTCATTTCAGTGGGCCTGGGATTTGGGCCTTAGTGCTCAGAAATTAAATATTTTAATGAAAACAAACAGGCAGCCTCTGATCCACTTAATTTTAGAATTTACAGCAAATTATTACAAGTATGAACAAAAAAAATTGCTCTCTCAAAAAAAAAAAAAAAGAAAGAAAAAAGAAAAAAGATGAAGCCTTGGGACTGTTTTTACCTTGGAATATTTTACTGGTGCAAATGTTCCTAAACTTTGCTTGAGCTATTTTAGACGTAAACGAAGAAAT